ACCACGGCGAGAACGTACAGTGTTAAGGTGATTGGTATCTGAAGAGCGAAGAATATATGACCTAGGTGGCTCGTTGCAGGGAAATGTACCTCTTTGACGAACTAATTATAAGTTAGCAAAGATACATCCGAACCCAATCAATCTGGTAAATGTATACAGTTAGACACCCAAACTTTACTTCCTGCCATCCACTGTTGCCACTCCAAGCTTTCGCGTGGATATCTTTCCTTCATGTTTACCAATGCCTCTCGGTATACCGCTAGTACATTTGAATTGCCAGCTGCATTAAGAAGCACATCTTCGATCTTGGTTGAAAAGTTGGGCTTTGGTCTGCTTGGGAAACTCAACGAGCCCTTCTCCGGCGAACTCGTAATCTCGCCGGACTCGGAGCGCATTGTCTCGTCACTGAAGGATAATTGCGATGTCTTGGGGAGGATACCTGGCCAGGGGTCGTTTGGAACTACAATCGGATTAGAAGTGGATCTTACCTACCCAGCCAAATCACATCACTTCTATGTGAATGAAATGAAATATTGAAACTCACAGAACTGGGTCCACTAGAGCGTGCTGTCAGTATTTTAATGCCGGCGTGAAGCAATACAAAAGAGATGAATGGAGTTCACATACAACGTGATATTCTGCTTTTCCCAATGCCCAATCCTCAGTACATTGCGGATTTTGCTGGTAAATTTGGCTTAGTGTTGCCTGAAATTGTTTTGTAATTTCAGACGTTGGAATTCCATTTTCCCTTGCTTTTTTGGCCATCAAATCTTGCTGTGTTCTGTAAGCTGATTCCATGATTGAAGATCCCAAGTTATCTCGGGGAGACTTGAGACGTATTGGGGAATTTTTAAAAGGAGACGACATGATTAAGATCGTTGGTTGTTTTTGGAAAGGTGAGTTGTGGTTGTTTGTTTACCTCCACTTGTGCTTTTTTTTTTTTGCTTCCTAAAAATGGTAGGCACGTTGCCTCTTCTGGAAACTCTGACCATTGCTCCCTCTTGATTTGGCTCCTCCAATACTCTTATCTTTATTTCGAATTAGAGTATCCAGTTGGGATAAGGAAAATGATGATAATGGCCATGAGTAGGTATCATAGACGGGAAAGTGAATTGTATATCGCTTCTCTTGACCAGCAAGTTTTAAGTGAATGTACATATTCAAATTATAATTGAATTAAAAAGCTTACGTCTGCAGCTTCTTTATCATGACGAAGACTTCGATTGATACAATATACCTTCTCGAGCATTTCTCCCGACTCGATATACTAGGTAGGTATTTGAATCATACTCCAAATTCACAAAGACTCTCTCTCCCCCACAATTTCAAACGCCAATGTCAAACACGGCAGCCCATCGACATGCATTCTCCAAAACAAATTCGACTATTGTGGTGTCCTCTAAGCAAACAACTACAGGCAAAAGGAACGTGCAATGCATCTACCCATCTAGAGCCGTCATAATAAACATACATCATACATTTGAGAATCAGCTGCATATAAATTAGATAATTTGTGTAACTCTCACAAACTATTTCCAAGACTCTCATGTACTACTCGAAGTCACTCTATTTCGTTTACAAAAAATGAGCAGGTTATTTTTGCCTACCCATTGTTTCCCCCAACACAAACATCTCGCCCAAAATAATGAACGATCATGTATATACCATGAATTTAGAGCAATCCATTCATTCATAAGGCCATACGCTATATCTGCAATACTAATGCAACATCGCTGTCCGTGAACTCCATAGCTGTATACCAAGCTAACCATGTAGCTGAAAATCCCTCAGTTCCCTTCATCAATACGGTCTATTGTTAAGGGTAACTGTAAATTAAAAGACTATTCTTCTTCTCCATCATCATCCCACCCATCCTTTTCTCTCCGAATGAATTCGCTCATAATTTCAGGCTTGAAGATTGAGCTACCCTCATCCTTTGCACGAGGCACTTTGCCTAAGTTCCGTTCATCATCAAAAACTGCCCCAATGTTTTTGATCCATTTTTGACGTTTTTCCATCAGTGATTTGGTCATATCACCAAGACCCGGTCTTGCTGTACCAGCAGTGCCATTGACAGCTTGATTACCACCGCCAGCACCGCCAGCTTTCTTATTCTTCTTGGTCTTCCCGATTGTGCGGGATCGTTTGGTATAGGCTGCGTTTACTTGACCGTCAAGATCTTCAAGGATAGTTTGGTATTCTTGATGAGCCATACGCTCCTTCGTGATTTCCTGTAATCGAGCCTTACGTGCACCGTTAATAATCGATTGTTCTTTGAGTTTGGCTTGAAGGAAACGAAGTCGTGCGGCTATTTCGTCATCGTAATGAGCGTCGTAATCGGGCTCGGCATCAGGGGGTAGGAATCCAATATGTCGAAGCTCTTGTTTAATCCTTTCATCTATTTGCGCATGATCAAGTTTTGGGTGGGTCGCTTTCTTCCACGATTCTGATGCTGATTCGGCCATAAAAGTTGCAGGGGGTAATGGAGATGTGTCGCTATGCTGGCTTGGTTCCCCCATGTCACCATTCATTTCACCATTGAAACTACCTTCGCCATTGCTCACACCGTTCGTCATAGGTTTGTCTTCGGAAGGAGCCGCTCTATTTTCCGGTCTCAAAGTTGCCAATAATCTCGATAACATTGGGCCAGCAGAAATTTGATCCGTCTCCGCTATTGCATCATCAATTTCATCAATACTTCCACGGGCTTGATTTGGAGGTAATTTATCTCGCCCTTGATTTGGTGTGTCAATTGACATGGCGCCATCTTCCTCAGCCCAGACTTCGGTATAGTGCTTCTTTCCACGTCTAGGAATCATGAACGGATTCACACGATCACCACGTTCACGTAGAAAGGCGAGATCTTCTTCTGTGAATGGTCGAAAGTATGGCTCCAGATATGTCGCAAAAGTATTAGCTTGTACTTGGTTTGTGGGTTTCGCGTTGCTGAAATCTTTGTCGGGTGGTGTTCCAGGGATGAGATCATGAAGATCATTCCTCGGATAGGCTGCTACAGAATAAACCTTCTTCTTTTCTTCTTCACTCATCCTGGGGTCTCCAGGTTTTATTTTTGTAATTTCGTAGACCGTTGGATCGGGAAAGGTAGATGGATCTGCTCCAAATGTCTGGTAATTGGCGATTTTGGGTGCTGGAGGAGGTTGATGTTCATCGGAGCTGGACTCGTCTTCGGCAGTGCCATTTGGTTTCGTATCCGTGTTCATACCTGCGGTTGGTGTTGCAGGAGCAGGTGGTGAAAGCGACGAGCTTATTGAATCATTATCTCGTTCTTTTGATACTTTTCTATGATGTTTATGTGTATAGTCACGGCTTGGAACGGCGACTTCTGCAAGTGAATTGAATTAGCGAGATACGGTTTGAAGTAAAGCTCAAAATCAATACTCTACTGATGTGTATACCGTATCGAAAGGTGACTTACCAATATTGGACCCATCTTGTGGTGCCAAACCATGGGCACCATGTGTCAATGGCCGCTCTTCTCTAGCACTACTGACATCCTTTCTCTTTTTGATTTTGTGAGCCTTATGTCTCCCACGCTCATCTTCATCCGCCTGGTCTCTCCTCATTCTTTCTTTCAATTCTTCATCTCGCTTTTCGATTTCCAGTTCCTCGTTCCTATCCTTCCTTGATTGTGCCAGAACTCGCATGCCCTTGTCGCATACCGCAGCACGTTCATCTATGCTTGCAGCTAGTCTTTCCATACGTTGCATAAGCGCCTCGAGCTCTCTTGAGTTGGGAATTGCTGAAGCATGTTGGTCGACAATTTCATCTGCTACGGAAGTCCTGAGAATACTAATTGGAATTTGTGTGTAGGGAGTTTTTCCGGCATCAGAAGGCGCGACTGAGCTCGCGGTACCTACTAGACTTGGTGTTGTGTTTCGACTTCGAGATTGGCGGGGATCCCGACCCTTTTTTCCCGTTCCTTTTTGACTTGCCATGGGAGGCATTTTAATGATAGGCGCAAGTGTATGGGATGTACGTAGAAATGGACTTTGAGACTCTAGGATCTAATCTTATTGTGTGTCTATTGTGTCAGTTTGTTAAATTTCGGTAGGGCCTTGACATCAGTTTGATTTGTAACAAGTAACCCATAAAGGAAGAATCAACAAGTATTGAATATCAAAATTATGGACAAATATCAAATGCTATGAATGTTGTTTACTTTCTTGTCAGATGTGAAGTTAGGTAGGTCGTGATGCTTGCTTAGTTGAACTACAGTGGAGCTAGCCTGTTGGAGATAAGGCTAGGAAGAAAGTTATTCCGGTGCTCTATCAGCACGTGATATACAGGGGGTATCGCTTCGAGATTTGTAATTGGTTGAACTACATTTTGCTCCAAGATCCTACCAAGCTCATTAGCGTTTTGCATTTGGCTGGCTGAAAGATCGTCAGAATGGCGCCATTACGTATTGATGATCCGATTAATACATATTTGAGACGCCAGTGGTGTTGAAAAAAGTATGTTGAAAATACTGTCTACCAATACGAGAGACTCAAAGTCGTACAATACGTTACAATGACGAGGGAGATGCACTGAGTACAACGAGATGTTGTATTACTGTATTTCTTTCTCATTCTCTAGAGTCTAGATGTTGCATCAATACATAACGGACTACAAGAATACGTTGTACTGTACTGGAATTTATGTTTTTGTTTTCTGGAGTTTAGATGTTATATGAACACAGAGTGGTACTGTACTGGAATTAACTTATTTTTTAGATTCTAGATGCTGTATGAGCACAGACTACTCGTAGTTTACAGTGAAATGTGATTGAAATGTACTGTACTTCCTTTTTATTCTCTAGAGCGATATGAGATGAGTACAGAACGGAATGCAACAAGTTGTGATAATGTCATCTCCACTCTCTACCGGTAGTTTAGATGCGATACATGCATAGCACCCATCATACATAGTGTCCCGATATATCTATCCTATGTGAAGATTTCATATTGGTACACAAATATGTAATACATATCATTCATGTCAAATTCCCTCTCAAAATCTTACTCAACATCTCACACCCTCTCCTCTCCCTTTCTTATTAATAATCAGCAATACAGTCATCGGGGGAAGTTCCTTCCAGCGAGTATGAAACCCAAGATCAAAAAACATTCCGAGATGAAAATTGTGGGTGTCAAACGTGGAGCGAAAAGGTGATCAAGCTTTTTCGCTAGCCGCCCATGCATATCCTCCCTAGTCTCCCTGACTCTCCGAATCTCCCTACTTTTGGTATATCCTGTTATATGAACAATATGGGTACGAAAATATATCCTTCAAGATCCTTTAACAATTGTTTAAAAACATTCAAAAATTCATGAATCACGTTCTGCAATTCACCTTATGGTAATTGTAACCAGCATACAGTTTGCCGAAGGGTCTTTGCCCGGCGCAATAGATCCTGCGCGCTATTTATTACTTGAATATGGGTTAGTTTCAAATCCCCAGAGAGTGCTTGGCGCCGAGATGTCAAGAATCTTGGCTATCCATTCTCAAATCTTCCTCTATATATTCACTAACCCAAATGAAAGCTTTGAAAGAAGTCGATAATTCCGTGTATGTGCAAACAGATCTTCAATATTCACTCCTCTTGTCTGATTCTGGACACTTAACTGAATACGATGTCGTGTTTTTTTGTCAAGAAACCCCAAATTCTGTTATCGTCATCACCATCAACCTCTCTCTACCTCGCTCTTCATCTCCATGTCGATCAATCAACACGCATTTTCACATCACAAAATCTTAGACATCTACTAATAATTGTATTACAGTCTACTTTTTCCGGATGAAGAATGGAATAACATGGCCACAAATGATCAGCTCACGAGCGTCATTAATCAGTTGAATGTATGTTATGGGACGATTAGAGAAAGTGTTGATCTAATGTGTCAATAGCCAAACATATCTTATGCAGAGACCATTACCGATAACCTACAGACATTATCAACTCACAATGCAGATGCGAGCGGTGCAATAGGTGGCTTTCTTTACGTGCCAGATCTGGATGATCAACACACATGCTACAACATTTCAAAACAATATGTTCCTTCAAATGCTACTCGACAAGCCAATCTCCCAGCAACGGATTTCACATTGATTGCGCTAGCACCTTGGATCAGCACAGAATGTACAAAGGGCTATTTAGCTGCAGCGCGACAAGACCCAATACGAGCTTTCATCTTCTATCCACCAGATAATAGTACAAGTCGACCACCACCAATCAGCTCGGATCAGTGGGCACTTGCAGACGGCGGAACATGGAAGTCCACAAACAAATATCCAGTATACGCTGTTGCTGGAAGTGTTGGACAGAGGATGATGCGCGAAATAAGTCTATATTCTGGCAATCTTACAGACGTACCAAACGGTCATGAACTATCCACATTCCCAGGCATTGACCCTCGAGATTATGTACGAGTGTATACGCAGCTTCGCGTGACTCATGGCACAAATCTCCCCAAGTTGTGGGAATTTTTGTTGATTATTGTTGCTGTACTGGCCTTTATGCTCGCAATCACTTCCGGCTCTATGCATTATCTCCAGAGAAGTCGAAGGCGGGCTTTAACAAGACGAGTGGAAATCGGGGAGGTAGACTTGGAGGCACTGGGTATCAAGCGACTCACCGTTCCACAAGAGATCATCGATCAGATGCCTATATTTACATATCGTTTTGTTGGACAGACCCCTTTGGTGCATCAACGTTCAAGTACAGCCGAGGGGATCCATGCCGATAAAAGCGTCTCCGCGGAGACAAATGAGATCTCATTTTGCGATGACTCGGCATCCAAGGCGTTATCACCAATTTTTATCATACCCAATTTGGGAATTTCTCCACTTTCCATCTCAGATCTGGGAGAACGAGCTGTGGTATTCTCCCAACCTACATGTCCTGTTTGTTTAGACGACTTCGAAAGTGGAACTACATTGATTCGGGAGTTGCCGTGTGGTCATATATTTCATCCGGAATGTATCGATCCTTTTCTTGGCAATAATAGTTCATTATGTCCTATGTGCAAAAAGAGTGTCTTGCCTGTCGGACAATGCCCAATAGAGATCACCAACGCAATGGTCAACAGAGAAAGGAATATGCGAAGATTGAGGTCTCGTATCACTATAGCAGAGGATAACCATGATATTCAGGCTGGTGATCCAAGGTTTCTTCCCCGAATCTTAGGCGCTAGTTTCAACAAGCGAATATTTAATACTTCGACGGTCCAAACAAATAACGTACAAATGACAGTTGCATCACCGATCGCAACGGGACCGCCATTGATGGCAAGTGCAATACACCCTCAATCACAGGTCAATAGCGTACTAGGGGTTGAGGTGTTACAAAACGGCCTTTCCCGACGAGAGAGAGCCCAACAACGAATTCAAGAACTTGCAGCACAAGAGCCTTCGATAGAAGGCCCGGACTTGGTCCAAACGAGGCATCGATCACTCTGTAAGCGCTTCCCAACTTCATACTCTTTCCAAACTAACGAGCCATGATAGTCCGTCGCGCATTATCCAAAACTTTCCCCGGCTATTCTTAGGGGTCCAACTGTAAATATTAATGACTTGATGAGCATTTCAGCGTGGCAAAGTTGTTCTTGTCAATGTCTGGAGTTTTATACCATGTATACGCTGTGCGTTTGAAGGGCAAAAGGGATCAAGGGCTGGTTAGGAATTGGTGTTTTGGGAGAAATATTGGCAATGGACCAATCATTCGGAACTCGTTTGAAATATTGGCGTATTATAGGGAAAGCTGTTGAACCAGTCACAGCAGGCAGAGTCTCCAGAAGAAGCATTTCTTTTTCTTTTGAGATGTACAATGGATTGGTCGGAAAAGAAACGTTGTAAGGGATACTACTAAGTAGATACGACAATTCAAACTTCGTGGTGCAATGCATGTACTTTGTACAACCGACAGCGCAGTTCTGTGGTACGTCGATGATGTGAATGAATCGCCCTCCACCTCTACCTCTATCCTTAACCTTGAAAATAATTCTTTGAGATCTCGACTTTGCCAAAATTCACTGGACACATCCATCCTTGTCATAATCTTCCCTTATCAGTTAGATAGAACGGAGGGGTGTGCCTTATCTCTAAATCCTTAGCAAAACTTAGCATTTGAGAAGCTCTAAATCATATCTAGTTTTCTACAAAACATCATCTAATGCAATTAATCATATTCAATTGAAGAGGAGATACATAGCAGTCTCAAAGATGCATCTCATACCTAAAGAAGTAAGTCCAGACCCTTATCGCAGCAGCGTTCAAGCAAAGGAATTAATTTTTGGGATCGTCAAAATAGATAGATAAGCTTGCTATCTCTCAGCTTGGCCTGCTGGCACAACGAAGACTTGCGCGAGGAGTAAAGCTCAATCATTCCGAAGCAGTTGTGAGTTCATTCAAGCATTCGAAAACATGTTATGAGATTGTTACTAATTGACACAAGGCGCTTATAGCGAATAATCTTCAAGAGGTCTGGCGACCGTCTTTCCCCCAATAGCAGGAAAAGAATACGAACTGACGACCTGAAAGCTCATTCGCGATGGAAACCATACAGTGGCAGATCTCATGTCAATTGGCGCAACAATGCTCGGGCGTCGTCATGTCCAACCTGCGGTTTGCTCGACTCTTACGGAAATTATGGTCGAAGGCACTTTTCCAACTGGAACATACTTGGTGACGGTACATCATCCAATTAGTACAGATGATGGAGATTTGGCGAAGGCACTTTATGGAAGCTTTCTTCCAATTCCGGATATAGATCTTTTCCCATTGCCATTGCATGCAGAATACGAATCGACCAAACGGCCTGGTGCTTTGATTACTGTAAAAGGTAAGGTCAAGCTGAATGAAGGAAGAAAGAGAATAAAATTGCGAGTGACAAGTAAGGGTGATAGACCAATACAAGTGAGTCTAAGATTCTACAGCGATGACCACTTGCTCATATTCGCAGATTGGATCTCATTATCATTTCATCGAGACAAATCCACAACTAGATTTTGATCGCATCAAAGCATATGGTTACAGACTCGATATTCCAGCCGGTACATCTGTTAGATTCGAACCTGGAGACACTAAAACCGTAGGACTAGTAGAAATTGGTGGCAACAGAGTCATCCGTGGTGGAAATCACGTTGCTACTGGCAAGGTAGATATTTCACGAGTGGAAGAAATTCTAGTCAATCTTCAAGAGGCAGGATTCGCGCATACCCCAGATCCAAGTGGAGATGCTGCATTTATTGGTGCATTCGAAATGGATAGAACATCATACGCAACTATGTTCGGACCAACTGTAGGTGATACTATTCGTCTAGGTAATACTGATCTTTGGATCAAGGTTGAAAAGGATTTGACTTTTTATGGCGATGAATGTAAGTTTGGTGGTGGTAAAACTTTACGGGAAGGTATGGGCCAGGCTACAGGTATACCTGATGATGTATCATTGGATCTCGTTATTGTTAATGCTTTGATTGTTGATTGGACTGGTATCTATAAAGCCGATATTGGTGTCAAGAACGGTACAATAGTAGGTATTGGTAAAGCTGGTAACCCAGATGTGATGGATGGCGTTAGTCCAAATATGATCGTTGGATCATGTACAGATGTTATTGCTGGGGAAGGCAAAATTATTACTGCCGGTGGCTTCGACACTCATATTCACTTCATCTGCCCTCAACAAGTCAATGAAGCTATCTCGTCCGGTATTACCACTATGCTAGGAGGCGGGACTGGCCCAAGGTAAGTAAAATAAAAACTTTTGCTATATGCTATCTAATATGTAAATAGCGCTGGAACTAGTGCTACAACCTGCACACCTGGAAAAAATTACATGCGACAAATGCTTCAAGCTTGTGATACCATGCCAATGAATGTTGGAATAACTGGCAAAGGAAATGACAGTGATCCCGCTGCACTCCGTGAGCAAGTTATTGCTGGAGCTTGTGGACTCAAATTACATGAAGATTGGGGCACTACACCTTCGGCGATTGATTCTTGTCTGACAGTTTGCGATGAACTCGATATTCAATGTTTGATCCATACCGATACTCTAAACGAGTCAGGTTTTGTTGAATCCACGATTGCTGCATTCAAAAATCGTGCTATTCACACTTATCATACCGAAGGAGCTGGCGGTGGCCATGCACCTGATATCATCAGTGTTGTCGAGCATGCGAATGTCCTCCCTTCCTCTACCAATCCTACAAGACCTTATACTAGAAATACACTTGATGAGCACTTAGACATGCTTATGGTTTGTCATCATCTTTCCAAGAATATTCCCGAAGACGTCGCTTTTGCAGAATCACGAATTCGTGCCGAAACGATTGCAGCTGAAGATATTCTTCATGATTTGGGAGCAATCAGCATGATGTCTTCTGATTCCCAAGCAATGGGCCGTTGTGGAGAAGTTATCATGAGAACATGGAATACAGCCCACAAAAACAAAGTCCAACGCGGTGCACTCGGAGAAGATCTGGGCACTGGAGCAGACAATTTCAGAGTCAAAAGATATATTAGCAAGTACACGATCAATCCGGCGCTTGCTCAAGGTATGGGTCATATTATTGGCAGTATTGAAGTGGGAAAGCTTGCAGATCTGGTCGTTTGGGATCCAGCGTGGTTTGGAACTAAACCTACTACAATTATCAAGAGCGGTATTATCGCTTACGCTCAAATGGTAGATCATGCTCCACCCATGTCCTCTCAAATTCTTTGCTAATCAGATTTTAGGGCGATCCTAACGCTTCCATCCCAACTGTCCAACCCATCATCTGTCGCCCCATGTTTGCACCCCTAGTCCCTTCTACATCTATCCTCTTCGTCTCCGAATCATCAATTTCTTCGGGTACGATCGCAACATATGGCTTGAAAAGCCGCGTAGAGGCGGTGAAGAATTGTAGAATAGTTGGAAAGAAGGATATGAAGTTCAATGATCAGATGCCAAAGATGAAGGTCGATCCGGAAAATTATAGAGTTGAGGCAGATGGTGTACATATTGTTTGTGAGGCGGCGGATTGGTTGCCGTTGGGTCAAAATGCTTATGTTTATTAGAGGGGTTATCTATATGGCAATGAAGGGACAGGACTAAGCTCGTTTATGTGAAGTGAGTGTCTCATGTATAGGGGTTTGATTGAAAGGATATTATTTAGCTCTAATGATAGTTACAAATTTTGTTCTGCACTGACACCATTGCGATTTCCGTTGTCTTTTCTTCGTATATACGATGTCTAAGGTCATCCCTGCAATCCACTTGGGGTAGAGGGGTTTCTATTATCTATTCGAGAGTTCATCTCATGATCATGCGAAAGAGTAGATTTAGTAGTCATTCTCGCCAACTCTAGGAAGCTCTTATATTCTCTGCTGGGGTCCCCAAGTGATCCACTGATCTCTATTAATGGAGAATTTTTAGTGTACCGATTAGTTACCGGAATGTAGGATATTTTTCTAGGTATATTATGGTTCTTGGTAAAGTCATGGAGACAGATAATCTTGGATTTCGATGCGTTGAGATTTTGTGGGGAAATTCTGTTGACATCGCTTGAAGTGAACACATTGCGGCGAAAAGTAAACCTGCGATTGGTGTTCTTACTGGGTAATGATCTTGTGTAATCTATTTCTGGAGAGTTCTCGAGCCGATGTTGGATAGATGGAATTTTGTGGTTTGTAGTTGAGCTATGAGGTGGTTGGATACGATGGATGCAACGACCATAGAAGTATCATGGGTTAAATTTAGCGGGAACTCAGGGGGAACGGGGAGCGATGGTATACTGTGTGGATCTACAGGTGACACGAGAGGACGCATCGGATCGTTTTTCTTATACATAAGATACTGCGGAAGTAAAGTGTTACTCGAGACATACGTGTTTGGTAGGTAGGAAGTAACGAAGACGTGTAATGATATTCGTGAAGATTAGACTCGAGTAAAGATTACATACTCTTTGAAGTTAAGGCATGTAGATAGAAATCAGATCGATGCGATACTTCAAAGTTTTCTCGTTGAAAATTGAAGATTGAAACGAGATGATGATAATTTTTCCAGATTTCATCTACCGTTTATTTTCTTACTAAATCTCTACGATAGGTAGAGGTAGCAAAACACACCTCTCTCAATACTCAACACAGTCGCAGCACGTGCTTCATCTCAACCAAGCTCGAGAGTCGAAACCCCCAAATCAATCCGGTCTAATTACTCAGAAAATAATTCACAGCAACCGGTTCCCCCAGCCCAGCCATCTTCTGCCACCCATCCAAATCAAAGCGCATTCGATACCAATTACTCAGCGGTTTCCCTCCGCTGGGTGCATATTTCCCACCGTTGAAATCCTCCGGCTGTTCGAATAAGTAGAAGGAGTATCGATGCGGTGCACTTCCTGGAGGAGGAGCTGGACCGATATAGTTGGCGATGAAGGGCTCGGTGGTGGTGAGGAGACCGGTGGGGTTGGTGGTGTAGCCGGGTTGGATCCAGTGGAGGATGGGACCGAGAAGGGGGAGGGAGGGGAAGGGCGCGTCCAGGTCGAGCATGATGAGGAGGTAGGTGGTGGAGGGGGTGGGGGTGGGGGCTGGGAGGGATAGTGAGGGGGTGGTTTGAGCTTCTGTGGGGTGGGTTAGGAGTTTGGATTTGGATTTGGGAATTCAGTTTGAGGTACGGGGAGAGTGAGGATGTTACCTGATCGGGGAATGTATTGCTTGGGTGTGATGGTGTTGCCGTTGTAGGTGACATTTAGTATTTTAGAGGGATCTTTTTCCATGGCGCTGAGAGCGCGCTTGACGCATGTGTTGGCGGGCATGGCTGGAGATGTAGATCAGAGAAAGAGTGAGAAACTGGAGATTGAACTTCAATCTGCTGGGACAGGAAGTTGGCAAAGTAGAGGTGAAAGGACACGATGAATTATATCAGATGACGAGACAGAAACAAGTCAGTACGAGTGGAAAGCCAAAAACGAACGGTATCCTCAATTGAAACAGCAATAAACCACGAGGGTAGAGAGTAGACGTTCAGGAAACATATGGATACATACATGCACACACACACACACACACACACACACACACATATATATATATGCACAGACGAGTTTTATCCCCAGAAGTGTGACATCCCTCTTGCTGATCCAGACTTGATTGTATTCGAGTTAATCCCATTAAGGGAATCCGGTTCGTTATTCCCATGACTAGCTATATATGAGCTGCTATTCCCGAGTTTCGACAGCCTGATCTTGTTGTTTCTAGTGATTACTGGTGGATCTTCAGGACAGGTACGAGTCTGTGAATATACAGACGGATATAAGCGGCGTGTAGTTACTAAAACCGATGATTTACCTCTTGCATCTAATCTAATCTAATCTGTTCGCTACATAAACAATTTGGGTATGCGCAGAGTTTATACTGTGGTAGATGTCCACGGGTGTATATGGTGACCTAGGTAGTGCTATACTCTCTCATCGATTAAACTATGTTCTTGGAAGTACGGCCAATACTTTTTGATTTCCAACTTTCAAGCGGCACGTCAACCACGATATGGGACAGCACGATTACTATCTTAAATTTCATAGATCATGATTAATCAGACGGCTCTATTCTTGATCACCCAAGTCGTTCGACGTCAGCCCAACCTTTCCTAAGATGCAATGACCTCAGTGAACATCAATACCCAGGATAGCTCTCTGAAGACGTTGAACATAAAGCGGATCTACAATCCCACATCCAGAACCCCGCGATAGCGTTCCGGGAATCGAAGGACAACCAACTTTAAAAAGTCCGATTCTAGAGAGGCAGTCGGCGGGTGATTGACAGGGTCGGACTGTTTGAAACTCCTTCTCCGAGATGATGGTGGTGTATTACAATATTAGCCGTGAGCACCCAAGATATGTTAACTGCACATTGCAATTACCGTTGGATTGATCGAGAGATGGTAGCTATAGCTAGGTAGGTACCTATTCGAAGATAGACGTGACCTGCTGCGACACGTATACATGAGTCGTTTTGTAACACCACATGCTCCGAGCGGGTTTCGCAGCAGTAAATTTGACAGATGGTGAAGAACCCAGACACATCCATCCGTGCTACTGCAGAATTTCCTATGAGTTCAAGTAACCTTATTTGACAGGATTTACTTTTTACTTTGATACAATAGTAATTCTTACAAATAGCAATGAAACCAACCTTGGAGACTAAGGAAAATCTAGGCATAGAATCAATAACGATTAGAGTGAATTTTCACGTGAGTTTTTGGGGTGGAATTAAACTTTATTCTTCCTTCCATGCATGCACACACGCTTTTTCACCCACACGATATATATCGGTCACGACCGGGAATAAACCCGACAGAAGTACTCTTATTCCCAGTCGATATATTTCTACAACTTTTCTTCCCGATTTGGAAGGATGGAGGCTTGGTGTTTTTGTAATTTTTTCAGATGTGCAACAAAACTCTGATGTTTGGCATTCACCGCTTTTGGATAGGATAATTATTACTGGGTGAGTTTTTTGCAGAAATACATCTATGTAGGTAATCGATGGCGGGTATGGGAAATGAGATATGGATGTATGCGTCATAGATGAGCGGGAGGGCATCGGAAGACTTCAGTATATAGAATGCATAATCTCCAATATACACAACTATTTCAAGTTTCATCATTTACGTAGAAAAGTAATAATTCACAACTGGAGCCATCATATGGATATTGATGATTCTCCTAGTAACCAAGTATCTTCACATTAGTATTCCCAATCAACCCAATGCGATCTCCTTCCATTTCAATCCTGGCGCAAGGGGCCATGAATGAAATGCTTCTTTAAAGATTTTTGCAAGGCCTACTCGCTTCGCGACAGTTCTTTCGTCGTTCCATTGTATCATCAAAGCGTAGTATAGATACCATTCTGCTTCTTCTCGTTCTTGCGGGATATAATATGTCCAACTGTCGAATTCTTCAAGTCCCAAGTCTTTGGCTTCAGATATTGCGATGAATCTTGCGGGGTGGAAGATTAGTAAAGAGGAGATTAAATCTTTAAAGAGAACTGAAAGAAAGAATGCGTATCTTGATCGTGGTACATGTATGGTTCAATTACTAAGCGGTCTGCCTGGCCTTTGAAATTAACAAAAGTTGACAAACTTACTCGTGTACTTTGCCACAGCCTTCGGCCCAGGTATTATCTAGAATGATTGTCCCACACCAGTCACCTTTTGAATCTTCGATGTCGTATCTGTGGAGTCCCGAGCCGAGTACCGATTTGAAATTTGCGACCGACATGTTTCTCTCCACAAGATTGAAAAATGCAGAGTATGTCCAAAATTGAAGGCAATGGGTTTCAGCGGATATTTTTGGCACTGTCTCAAGCTGAGGTGATTGTCCCGCAGCTTTGAGTTTTCTGAGCCGTCCATAAGAGTCGCAGCCACCGGTATCAGGAATGGTGTACCCATTCCAGCGATTCGGCATTGTTGTGGATACCTCTGAAGCTTACCAAACCAGGGTATGTGTGCCGTCCTCACTACATTTATACCAAATGATCCAAGTATGAGCTACCAACCATTCATGCATATTATTGAGAATCCTAGAAGTTGTTGAAAGCCTCCACTCAACGCCCCTTACCCATCCACACTAGGACTAGCTGGGAGATTGGACACCCAATGAGCATTCAATGCGCTCCGTTGCTATAATCGGTTCCCATAACAGAGACCAGTCAAAATATGCGGTTGGAAGACAGTAAAGCAGCGGCCCCTGGAGTTTTGAGGCCAAAATATCACCTAGACCAGTAAAGGCAATCATTTTGTCCGTAACAAAGGTAAGCTTATGACCACTATATATTTGAACGCAATCGCTATACCGTCGCAATGGCTGGTCGTTCCATAACTTCAACGGAGACCCGACAACATTAAGTGTCCAGGAAGGACAGTGCCTTTCGGAATCCAGTTCTTCGGACCAAGTAGCTCGTCGACATTGAAAGAAAACGCGGTTACCAACAAAAATCAAACATCATCTCGAAAGAAGCCTTTCTTGAAATGTCCACGCTCTAGTGTTCCATGGAGATGTTCTGATGTAATTCTCAGGAGATCGGACAACCATCAATTCTAATCCTGCAACGCGCTCAACGTATTGGATCAATCGACGAGAACCCAAATGTGCTCTAGGAAGACCCTCGGAAACATCACCACCACTGCCAGCGCAGATGGTAAGCGTGGTATAGCCATATATTCGGTCCATAACCGGAGCTATTCGCGTCCAATCTTCTATGTCGTCTTGCACAATAAAAATGCTATCTACCCACAGATATCCCATGTTAAGAGATCTCACTAAAAATATGGCGTCTTGTATTGTTTGGCCAAGTTCATCAAAAACAATGTTAAGGAATCCTGGCCTCCGCAACTTAACGTTAAGACGTCGTGTGTTTTTAAAGAATTTCGTTTTGCCCCAGGAATAACTGAGGGTGACATATTTCGTTGTACTTTCCGCAGTGACAAGACACATTTGATTAACATCGGTTAACCTCATACTCTCCCCAAGACTTTGAGCTGGACTTTTATCGTGTAGTGGCCGGCAAACTTCCTTGTGGGACTGCTCGCAGATTCCAATCCATTCGCTCATCTTCGCTAAACCTGCCTGTCTTGGGTAGACAATCCTGCCAAGAAAACTGGGCGACCTGCTCTCAGTGTTGTATGTTGACAACAAAACAAGATAAGCGTCGGAAAATGACCCATCTTTGCTATATAAGCGAATTCGACGAGTAAAGCACTCTGTGATTGGGGTGTTGATTGCATTGCTAGGCTGTATCGTGTCTGACCCTGTTCTTCCATCAATTAGCTACTCCATCCAGCATGTGGTTTGGCGATCTTCATTATTGACACAGGTCCTTCGAGGCTGATTGTAAGCTTTAACTTCTAGTTTGGTGGCTTTGTAAACTAGTCTGCAGAAAGCGCAAGACGACTTGCGTTTGTAGATATCATTAAGGTAACCGAGATTCACTGGGCTTAGCGTCGTATGAACTGGATCCACTTCTTTTGAAGTATCTTTTGTATCCTCAGCAAGAACGAAGCTCTCACAGTGTAAACTCAGGCGAGAGCACGATCAGCAACACGAGTCTATCAAAGAGCTGTGATCAACGAGCTGCTTTATTTTCGCTTTAAAAACGTGATCAATGGCACCGCGTAAGTTGGTCTTGAGTTACTGGGACCATGACCGTAATTTCAATCGCTCTCCTAGTGCATGACCCCAAGAAGAGGCCGTGGATGTAATTGGCACGGTGTCGTCAGCAAGGGTGGCAACTGGTTCATAGGCTTCATCCATGTTTCCAAAACGAGCGTTGTAAGTGAGTTGGAAATTGAGCTACTGACATCGCATGAGAGGAAATTTGGCATTTGACATGCGTTTGTCCTTATAAGCACGAAACATCTGTACAGAAACTGTTGGTAGGACTAGGTGCCACAGCCCAAGTAATTTGCGGATAAGTGCATGCCAAGAAAGAGAGAACATGTTCCTTCAGCTGCTGCAAGATGAGGCTGTCAACATCCTATTGCACACCTTAAAAACATCAATATGAAAGTGTTCAAATAAGATGTGGACTAGACTCATCTTACTTTTTCAGCAGAAACCTTGATGAAACAAACAGTATCGCTCATGTTTCAAGTCGATCGAGGAGAAAGATTGTGATAGCCTCACTGAACTGATTTTTCTGTCTGCTTTGAAGGATTCGAACTCCAAACTTAGAGTTCCACATGGTCACAACATATACCCCGATATCTCAGTAGATACTCCAGCAGATTTAATACGAGTCTTTCCACCAATACATCTTCATGGAACATACCACACTTTCATACCCGGCAAATTGCTGTGTCGGCCAAGAGTCCTATTAAAACAAGACCATTAGGCGTATCAAATACCCAATCAACAGGTTGAGGTTCCGAGCCCGTGTGAGGTTAGTCTGCATTCCTACTGTCGTTTGTCGATGTCACTCAAGAATCACGAAATGAATTCTGGAGGGATTCCTTGCAAATGGAATATGGAGGCTTGCTTCTATTTATTAGTATGGTGTTACTGCCCAGTGCAACAATGTGAATTGGTTGTATTCACGCGCCGTTGATGCCGGAGCATCATTAAAATGCTCATCCGAATCACCTATTGAGATGTTCCCAGACTGGAAATTCCACCGAACTTACCAAAAGACTCCTGCTGCTACTCCAAAGAAGTTGCTGGACGAAGAAATGATGATCGAACGGAGATATAGGTCGTAAGAAAGAAGGATCTTGAAGTTGATTTTTTGACAGGATGAGCAATGAGTCTGAGTCTGGAGCAGCATAGCATCAATCGAAGCTATAGATGAACGTGCATAGAGTTTAGCACGCATAATGCTAATAAGCCAAAACTTTAAGCATACTTTTCCTAGCCCCAGACTCCAGTGCAGATTGGCGTTCAGGTTGCAGCTCTGCGCGATATAATAGAAAGAATTTTTGACTTTTCACTCATGTACTATTCCATCCAGCTGTCAGGATTGAATCTCAAGCATGGCAAGCACGAGGGACCAAGGTCGGGAGGTAGGTTGATGGGTATGTATGTTATTCTGTGGAAAGAAAACCAGGGGCTAAAATCAGTCGAGAATGATCAAGGTTAATCCGCGGAGGATCCGGTAGGTGCCTAAGTAGGAGTGGGCTCCCAAGGACACGTGCCCAGGTGGTGGCTCTACGTAGGAGAAAACACAGGCCGGAATTGACCACTATGTAATGGTACGTGCACCCTCACCAAAATAACGCGTAGAGAGAGGTATTACGCATTGGTCAATTCCGGCCTGTTTTTTCTCCTATGTAGAGGGTGGTACTCGTAATATATCGGCATCGTATATATAAAAAGAGCCGATCGCTGCACCCTGGTTAACCCCTTGTAGGGATCATCTATCTCCGTTGCAGCGGTACTCGGATATAAGGTGAAGCACTAGCAAAACGGGGAATGGGAACAGCGGAGATACAAGACGAGAAATTCTCACCATTTATACCGGTATGCTGCTCCTGAATCTTCCCGGGTAAGTGGGTGTGGTGGTGCTGGTGAGTGAGTGAGTGAGTGAGTGAGTGAGTGAGTGCCTGGCTACCGAACTCTGGAAGTAGATGGCATGGATTCTACAACGCGCACAGTGTAGGGCAGGCCATCTATCAATCCGCTGTTGCATCTATATATTGGGGTACTGGTGACATACCATCCAAACCTAATAGTATTGGATGATCACCTTAATAAGCTGGAAGAATCTCTTGTTCTTGGAAACCGTGGACTTTTCTCTACGCCATTCTTGGCCATTGGATGAGCTCAGTCGGTAGTCGGGCTCAAAACCCTCCGGTGAGTAAGGATCTGTGGCGCACGGAGCTTTCTCATTGGCTCAAATTCGAATGTGTTGTCAGCCAAAGCCGCGTACGTAAGGGAGATGGGATTACTAATACTCTCGGTCTCCCTCCATCATATTATTTCCTCCCTCCCTGGGCAGGTACCTGGTACTTTTTTCAACAATTTTAGGTTTTTGCTCAAAAAGGTGCAACCGTGCAAATGGCTTTCATATGAACAAAAGGACCTTTTTTCCTCCGAAATGAGATCTTGGACAAAGACTTCGTTTGACTCACTCAGCCTTATCCCATTCCATTCCCGATTCCAATTCCAATTCCAGTTCCATACATAATCATGCTGTCATGCTTATGGTAGAACCACCCATTTGTTGTCTTGAAAGAGTTCTGTGGGTCTTCATTTCATCCATCAATTGATTCAGTCGGTGAATCAATCAATCAAATAAGCAATCAACCAACAGATCAAACAGATCATTCAATCAATCATTCAGACCGACTCCTATGATATAGGCAACAACTGTGCCACTCTTTAATATTTCAACATCATGAATCCGAACAGTCCCGTGGTTTCTACCGCCAGTAACACAAACGCCCAATCTCCAGCAGCAGCAGCAGCACAACCACCACCATCAAAAGTTCTTAGTTGCACAAATTGTAGGAGACGTAAGATAAGATGCAATAAAACAACAAACCCGTGTATCCCATGTCAGGTGAGTGAAATTTGTTTTTCCAACCTGCAATCCGCCATTCTTGGGTGTCTATGAATACCTAATGAATAACACATAATCAGGCATCTGGTACTGAATGTATTTTCCCTACACGTGTTCGAAACCCCAGGCCGAGACAAAGTAATCCGAAGTCTCGTGATGCTGAGCTATTAAAAAGAATCTCTCATCTCGAAAGTTTGGTGAGCAGAATTGATGCCACAAAACTCCTTGGGGAGGATAGTCATGTAGAAGACGAGGCTCGGTCAAATACACCATCGTCAGGACCGCGACCTCATCGCTCTTTCACGTCTCCAAGTCAACAGTTTAATGACAATGTCCATGAGATTGGATTTGTACCCGGACGTTTGGATCATCAGTATGCTGATTTTATCAGACGCCAAGAGAACGAGTCGATCTATACTCATGATGGATTTTGGACAAGATTAAGTGAAGAAATTGATGGACTGAAACAGCTCATCGAGAATCCCAGTGACGATGAAGATGAAAATTCTGGATCAACTGCAACCTCGCCAGCATCCAAGTATGATTCCCCTTCACAATTTGTCTTTGATTCCAAGGTCACTTCCTCGAATGTCGTAATTCCATATCCATCCGACGACCACCGCAACATTTTATTCGAGTTCTATTTCAAAAATGTGCATCCAATGGTCGTCACTATGCACAAGTCAACAACACACCTTATGATAAACCCAAGGTCCGAGTTATTCGATCCGAATACTGGCCGACACAAATTCAAAAGTCTTGAGGCTAGCGCATTTTCTATGTACCTGGCTGCTGTGACGAGCATGACAAATGAAGAGTGCCTTAAACTTTTAGATGAAGAAAGGCAAATTTTAGTGACACGATACAAAACTGCGACAGAGATTGCTCTCCAGGAAGCAGATTTTCTTAATAGTGTAGAAATTGTTACCTTACAAGCTCTAATGACGTATATTGTAAGTGTTCTTCTCCAAGTATCTTGGACGATGATGATATTTATATACGTTCACAGGCAGCTATGCGCACTCATGATCGAAGTCGATCTGTATGGGCTTTTATCGGTCTTGCAGTCCGGCTTGCCCGTGGCATCGGGCTTCACAGAGATGGCGGTAGTCAACCTTTCGATTTGGAAATGCGAAGGAGAGTATGGTGGACATTGATCGTACTTGACACGAGAGCTTCTGAAGATCGAGGTACAGAAACAATGATCACTGATGGCTCTTTTGATACAAAGATGCCTGCCAACATAAACGACGAGGATATCTCGATTACCTCAACAACTTCACCGGTCGATCGGATAGGATTCACCAGTATGACCTTTTCTTGCATTACAATGATAGTTAGCGGGATCGGATTGAGGATGAATTTCGTACCTACGCGCCTAGACGCGCCGGTCTTGACCACAGAACAAAAAGAGCAGATGATCAAAGCATTTACTGATAAAGTCGAATCAACCTATCTCGCAGGTGCTGATCCCAATGATCCGAAATTTTTATGGTTTTGTCGGGTATCACGACTATTATCGCTCAAATTATGGTTGGTGACACAATATCCACTTCAGCGAAGAAAATCTACTCATCGAGTACTTCCTCGAGGACAATCTTTGCGTACAGCTATGTCGTACCTAAATCTGATGGAAGATTTATGGCGAAATGATCCTGAACAGGGATGGGCCTGGTTCTTTGAAACTTATGTACCGTGGCATGCGATCGCCGTCGCTTTAGCTGAGCTCTGTGCGGAACCAACTGGCACTCTTGCTGACCAAGCTTGGGAGTCCATTGAGTTCCATTACAATAGATGGAGTGAATACGTTGCAGATACAAAAGATGGAATGATTTGGCGACCAGTTAAGAATTTACTGAAAAGAGCAAGAGCAGCAAGAAGGCGAGAAAGAGGCCTCAGTGATTCTCAAGCATCAACAACTCCAACGGCAATTTCCAACCCTAATATGTACAGCCCAGGTCCCAACTTAGGTGCCGAATTCTCTCCAATCGTGTCGGAGAATAACAACTACCGCCAAACTTCTACAATTGGGCAGGTTGACCCAATGGGGCAGAATACTTACGGAGGGATGGGCTTCGATATTCCCATGCCCATGGGTTCTACCCCCATAGACACGAATATGACATCACCAATACCTATTCCGGATGGTTACACAAATGCACACTGGAACGAATTCATATTTGGTTTAGGAACAGTTGGTGGCGACGCACCTCAACATCCAGAGATGTGGGGTTCATATCAAGATTATTTTACTGGC